TAACACCCGTTAATGTACTGTTTTTCTATAGCTCTGCTGGGGGCAAAGTCGTACAAAATTAGATAATTTGCTACAAGTTTTCTTACATCATGCGTGAAATACATGTCGTGTGAGTAACATCTGGACTAAAACAAACAATTGTTCCGTTACTATACATGCATGGTATTTCGTCTATACATACTTTCTTCTCCGCAAATCTCGATTATAGCATGTCACTATATTAAAGTTACATGAATTGATATTTCGCGTCTTGCAAAGTAAGACGACTGAATTTCAGCATTATCGAAGCAGCAATTTTCTGAAAAATCGTCATTGCAAATTTATTTCTGAAAAACTGATTGCAAGTTTATTTGCGGCAACTCATATAAAGCCTTTTCCTAAAACGAGAAAGTTAAATATGCTAGATATACATACAGGATGTGTGATGATGTGATTAAAGTCGTCATTTTTTTCCTTGACAACATTTATGTACGTTTCCGCAATTAAGTTTATCGACAGATTGTACTGTAGGTATTTTCTATGGGCACCAATTGTCCCCTTTGAATTGCAGACTTGTTCCTTTACTGCTATGAATCACAGTTTATGGCCAAACTCAGTGAAGACCCGTCTAAATTTCATTTAATTGATAAATTAAACAACACTTGTCGTTATCTTGATGATACTTTTCGTTAAATAATCAAGAACTCTCCAAATATATTGCCGAAATTTACCCACAAGAACTTACCTTTAAACCATCAAGTTTTTCTGCTTTGATAGAGTTTACAATCTGTAGTATTATATATCTTTGCTTTTGTCAAAGTAATTTTTCATAGTAATCTTGTCTCGCTGTGTTGTCTATGTTGAATACTTTGTTTTATCTAGGTTTAACTGTCTCGGCACTAGAAATGGTTATAGAAATAGAGGATGATGACGGACATAGGGAAAAATATAATATATCCGAAGAGCTTGAAGGTATGATATTATGTTTATTTAGGTGATTCAGCAATTGGAAGGTACATGCATAATATTATGATTATCTATGCGGTTTAGCGAAAAGTTGATTACATATGAAGGTGAAACATATAAATAAACCACTTTACGACAGTCTGACTAATACAAATGTTCCGTTAGTAAAGAAATGTAAGAAAAATAAGTTATAATGTGCTATGTGGTCACCAATTTCCAAAAGAGCCGAAAACATCCATAGCTTTAAGTAATCGCAGAAAATGCCGACCAAACATTTGCAAGGGTCATTTTAAATATTGGTAACGATAAAAACACCGTCATATTTCTCCATTCATTAGCAGTGGTTATGGCAAAAATACTTACATTCTATCCCCTAAGCAGTAATTAAGACAAAACAACAACCTATTGTCTCCTTAGCAGTAATCAAGACATAAACACCAATTTATCGTCCCCTAAGCAGAAATCAAGATAAAATCACCTACCTGCGACCCCCTTAACAGTAACCAAAACAAAAACACCTACCTGTCGTTACCATCAGCAGTATTCCAGACAATAATAACTACTTGCCGTCCCCTTATATTTGGCAGTAATCAAGACATAACCACCTACCTGCTGTCCCCTTTATAGCAGTAATCAGGACAAAAACACATACCTGTCGTACCCTTTGTACTAATTAAGACAAAACATCTACCTGTCGTTCCTTTAACAGTAATATAGCCAAAACACCTACCTGCTGTCCCCTTTGCAGTAGTCAGGCAAAACACATACCTGCCGTTCCCTTAACAGTTAACAAATATAAAATACCTTCCTGTCTTCCCCTTAGTAGCAATCATGACAAAAACGCCTACCTGCTGTCCCCTTATATCAGTAATCAGGTCAAACACATACCTGCCGTCCCCTTAGTAGTAATCAAGTAAAAAAAAACTGCCTGCCGCCCCCTTAGCAGTAGTCAAGACAAAATACCTTTCTGTCGTCCCCATTATTACTGCTTTTAAGGACGAAAACACCTCCCTGTCGTCCCCTTAGCAATAATCAAGCAACAACATATATCTAACGGCCCCTTATCAGAAATCAAGACAAAAACAACTTCCTGCCATCCCCATCAGCAGTAATTAAAACAAAAACAGCTACCTGCTGTCACCTTTAGCAGTAATTAAGGCAGAAACAATTACCCTAACTACCGCCCCCATTGAAAGTAATCAATACAAAAATACCTACATACCGCTACCATTGGAAGTAATCAATACTAAAACACCTACATATCGCCCCCATTGGAAGTAATCAGGACAAAAACACCTACCTATCGTCCCCATTAGCAGTAATCAAGATAAAAACACCTACCGCACCCATTGGAAGTAATCAAGATATTTGCACTTGTAATCCACAGATTTATAAATTTTCTAAATCTTCAACGGCAAAATAAAAGATCCATTCAAATTTGCCTTTGAATGCTAGATGTCAAAAGATCTTAAACTTTAAAGTCATTTACATAAAAATAATTTATCATATCGTAATTTCATGTATTTCAGAACTAATGAAAGACCACCTTCCATTCGACGTACCTGATGAAGATATGGACGAAGAATATAAAACAAAACTAAGACCACGACGAGATACAGCTACTGTTCAGGATCAAGTACCATGGAGTACGAGTTTTATCTTTGGCCTACGTTTACCGTAGAGGTCCCCGTACTTAATGTTAATGTTCATTTAAGGATAAGGTTTTGTTTTAGATCAGATATATTAGATTTAGGGATAGGGTTAGTGTTAGGGATAGATATGGGTATGAGTAAGTTTGATTTAGGGTATGGATAAATTAGTATGGGTCCTCGACACCGTACGATCTAAAAACTATGAGCAAAACTTGTGTAGTTGAATCAATTTAATCAATTTTATTTTTACGGTGTGAATACGGGCGATTAGTTTCCAAATTTGAAGTGAAACTCAAAATCCGTTTCTACTTAAGGAATCATCACTATTAACGTTATTGGATTATTGTTTTTGCAAAATATTAGACTAAAATCCGTATTAATATCATCTAATAGATAGAAATTTACCCGAATGCGAGACATACATCCAAAATTATAGAAAACAGAACAGAGGCGCACCGTTACAATTGATGTACAGTGTGGAAGAGAATGAACACATCGTTTTAACATGTCATTACTGGTAAGTATGGTTCACAAACACTACAAATGTATTTCTCATATTATCTTATCGTTAAAGCGTTTATATATACGAAGCTTTATTATGTGAATAGAAAGAAAATTAGATGACAGAAATTTTCAAATAAAATATGAGAAAATAATTCTGATGAAATTCTTTTAGAAAATGTAGAGAAAAAGTAGGATCACTGTACTTTTTTGTTGTACCTATAATACATAATTGTAAAAAAAATGAGACAATTATCCAGCAGATACCAAAGGCGATGATGTTAAAGAACTATTATAGGTCACCGTACGGCCTTAAACAACGAGCAACATCCATACCGTATAATAATCGATAAAAGGCCCCGGCATGACAAAATGTAAAACAATTCAAAGAGGAAAAACCAACAGCATGATTTATGCTTAAGGTGGCTCGGGTGTCTTCCTCCATCTTGGATTTTGAAGAAGCAGATAACAGTTGGTCTATATCTTTAATGAAGTGTGCAAATTTTGAGAGTAGTATGTAATTCATGTGTAAGACTTTTGATGTAAATATAGAAATTATGTGTTTTATCATATTTACGGCTGAAATTTCTAAAAAAAACCACCGTATTTGTGTTTGATTCATTTTTTCAACTTTGCTAAATAAGGGGAGATAACTCAGATATAGTAATTTTATAATAGAAAGTGATGTGAATTTACCAATTTTAATATGTAGCAAGAAAAAAAGTTCGGTGACCCCATTTTTTCTTTTTCTTATCTAAAAGCATGTTATAAGAGCTATCTTCTCACATTTTATCTTAAAATTCTACCAGGTAGTTTTCTTTTTATCACACAAAATTGGATTTTCCATGACAATTTTGCAAAACCTGTAGCGGGGAAAAAAGTCCGGTGACCCATACTTTTTATTATATTTTTGAAAAAGCATGTAAATAAGATCATATTGACAAATTATTAAAAAATTCTATGGATTTTAATTAAGACGCCCCAGCCACCATAAAACAACAAACGAAAAACAATTATGTCAGCAACCTACTACAACCACTGGTCTCCTGACTTAAAACAAGCACACACAGAATGTGGCGAGATTAGACATATAAGTGACCACTCAACATCCCCTTTACCTGGGACAGTGGTGTTACAGTACAACGTAAGATCAATCTGAAAACATTTGGCTTGGCTCATAAGATCGTTCATAAGCACAAAAACAACTAACAGACAGACAAAAGACACAGATGTACCGATCTAAGAGTACTCGTAGTTACTTAATACTATTTCGAAACCAATTTTTAACAAATAAATTAACTAGACTGAAATATTGATCAGTATATCTCCAAAGGATTTAGTATAAAAAAAAAGTCATAAGAGGTCTGAGTAAAGAATGACCTTATGTAATTATAAATGTCAAAATGTAAGTTCCTACAGGCTGTAGGACAAAAAGAATTCATAAATCATGGATAGCAATACATGCTTTGTTATGTATCAAGTATCAAATAAAATCAATGTACCTATAAAGACAACATTTAAAGATTTAACAGCAATATAAAAATGATAACCTTTAAGAATATTTTTGTTTCAAAGGATCAATATTTTTTTATGGATAGTTTCTAAATTAATGAGCTTTATGAACAACATAATCGCAAAAATTAGGATGCGACATTCCGTTAGTAATAAGGTTTCTACAGGTAAAAGAAAAACTTCCAAGCCGCCATCATCATATCATCTTTTTTTTTGTCACAAATTATATCAGTTGATTTGAACGATAATAAACTTTGATTTAAATTGAATTGAATTTTTATCTTGATCAGTGGTGACAAAGAAACATATGGGCAAACAATCGAATGGAAGAAACTTGACAGAAAGAAGGCAAAAGGCAAACAATTCCGTATAGTCCGAATTGATATAGACATGCATGATGATGATAATGATAATCGTGTGTATATTGATGAAGAATACAGCCTGCATATCAAAAATGCTACAACAGGTGAATTATTTAGTTAAAAAAAATTAATAAGTATGATCAGTGGTAAACATATGAACAAAAAGAGATAAGGTTAATGCAAACTTTTGCAAGTTCGCACAAAGATTGATATTGGTAAAAAGAAAGAATTGACCATCTTTTCAGGTGTAAGTTTATGTTGTACGCATTCCATTAGAAAATTGTATTTAACCCTGTAACCTCTGTGCAGTTGTTTGATCTTCATTCCTGTGAGGCTAGTAAAAAGGCATTTGTCTTGTTTAAAGCTATATAATGTACAAAAAGTGTATCCTACTGTGTAAACATATGTTGAGGTGGATAGAGGCGACGAAATTTTTAAAGTCAGTGTGTGATTTTCACAATTTTCATCAATTAAGTTGTTAAATACATGATTTTTTTATTAGTTGTTATTGGCTTTGAACTAGCTGCCAGTAACTGCGAATACGCTCAGATCTGTATATAGTGTCCTTTTTGTTGTTAGGGATGAGGGATAGATAAATACCCTGCAATTTCCAGTCTGTGTTTTTGTTGTAAGGGATGAGGGATAGATAAATACCCTGCCATGTCCAGTCTGTGTTTTTGTTGTTAGGGATGAGGGATAGATAAATAAATACCCTGCCATGTCCTTGCTGTGTTTTTGTTGTTAGGGATGAGGGATGGATAAATACCCTGCCATGTCCGGTCTGTGTTTTTGTTGTTAGGGATGAGGGATGGATAAATACCCTGCCATGTCCGGTCTGTGTTTTTGTTGTTAGGGATGAGGGATGGATAAATACCCTGCCATGTCCGGTCTGTGTTTTTGTTGTTAGGGATGAGGGATAGATAAATACCCTGCCATGTCCAGTCTGTGTTTTTGTTTGTTTGTTCTACTTTGTATCGACTTGATGAGTTAACAGAGGCGGATTTAGAGGGGGCCCCTTTTCTGGGAAAAATTGGTTGATTATATAGGATGATATAGGGATGAGGGATGGATAAATACCCTGCCATGTCCGGTCTGTGTTTTTGTTGTTAGGGATGAGGGATGGATAAATACCCTGCCATGTCCGGTCTGTGTTTTTGTTGTTAGGGATGAGGGATAGATAAATACCCTGCCATGTCCAGTCTGTGTTTTTGTTGTTAGGGATGAGGGATGGATAAATATCCTGCCATGTCCTTGTTGTGTTTTTGTTGTTAGGGATGAGGGATGGATAAATACCCTGCCATGTCCGGTCTGTGTTTTTGTTGTTAGGGATGAGGGATAGATAAATACCCTGCCATGTCCAGTCTGTGTTTTTGTTTGTTTGTTCTACTTTGTATCGACTTGATGAGTTAACAGAGGCGGATTTAGAGGGGGGCCCCTTTTCTGGGAAAATTGGTTGATTATATAGAGAATCACTGAAGCATGACCGGAGCGGGCCCCCTCTTTGGTAGTCAGTGGGCCTCCACGTATGAAAATTTCTGGATCCGCCACTGGTTAAGCCTTTTTCAACTGATTATTATAGTTTGTTCTTATGTTGTGCTGTTTCACCACTGTCCCAGGTTAGGGGGTTGAGCGCTCACAAACATGTTTAACCCCGCTACATTCTTTATGTGCCTGTCCCAAGTCAGGAGCCTGTAGTCCAGTGATTGTCGTTGGTTCATGTCGGTCATATTTGTTTTTCGTAAATTGTTTTGTTATAAATTAGGCCGGTAGTTTTCTCACATGAATTGTTTCATATTTTTTTATGTCGGGTCCTTTTATTGCCGACTATACGGTATGAGATTTTCTCTTTGTTGAAGGCCGTACGGTTGCCTATAATATCTTACATCCACCTTTTTTGAATTTTGGTGAATAGTTGTCTCATTGGCAATCATTCTTCATCTCCTTATTTTTATAAAGATGATGATTGTTGGATGGACTAATGCCATGGCGTTGTAATTTTGTCATCGGGATCTAATCCGACTCCCACGGTCTAAGCGGTAAAACTCTGATCTGAAAGGTAAAATCGATGTTTTTTATTACTATGATTGTGGCCTCCACCTAATACATATAGGAATACATTTTTAAACTAATCACAAGCTAAATTGCATACAATCCTGGTACATAATTTTATAACAGTATTGTGGTCTCCAAGTTCAAATGACGTTGAAGGAAAACTCCTCTTGGGTGAGTGAATGTGAATATTTAATGTTATATTTATATGTTATAAGTTTTATTATAAAGGATAACCTACGCATGTTTTGCATTGATTCTTAGGAAAACTACCAAATAATACATAATTTGATATTTGTTTTAGCGGATAGAGGGACATACTTTTGTCACGATATGAAAACCAGGGATGTTTATGTGAAAAAATATCTTGATGTTAGTATGTTGCAAAAGTTTTTCTTCAGTAAGGACAGATTTCGGGTCTTCTTCCATTTGGAAGGTAAGTGTTTATTTTTTTTAATAAAATCTATGGACGAAAGAAACATCCTCTTTAGAGGAAGTAAGAAGAACTAGAAAACCTAAAATTATATAAACTATAATAATATTCATTAACTTTTATCTGTAGAAGCAGTCAGACTATCAAATTATAATATTTCAAAACTTGAACAAATCTAATAACCAATATTAAGGAATAAAATGATTTTTTGTTAACATATTCATGTATAGAGTAAGTTCCAAGGTAAACACGTTTCAGCTGCTCGTAAACTTTGAATCTTTGAATTCAAGTCTGTGGCAAAAAGGCAAAATCAAACGTACCTCAATTATATATATGTTTAAAACTGTGTGTTGACTTTTTTTTTTATGTCGTTTGTCTATTTACAACGTTATGTTGCAGTCTCGATGACATTGGCTCCACTTCTCTTCTCATTCATTCTCATATCTTCAAATGATTTTATTACATAAGGTATTCTCGATTATTATACATGTACGTGCGTTCTTTACGATTTACTTGCCTTATATATATATATATATATATAGAAGTCTATAAAAAGGACCAACCAGCAAATTTACTATGTACCGGATCGTCTAGAATAGACGATACTGTGCAGATAAGGAAAAAAATTATATAAGTCTAGAGATTTGCACAACGATACTAATATAAGATGGTATTATACGAAGATGTTGTTAATAAATCGTGTTGACAAATATTTCGGCTTAACAAATAGCCTTCTTCGGTGTCAATTATTTTAACAATACTGATAATATGTATAAAAATAGCTCAATAATACAGGCAAGTTTTGGTCTATTGATTTAATCCAAAATCCTGAACATCATAATATAAAACAAAACTCAATACTCAAATATACGTGACTGTGTATATTTACAACCCAAAATGAGTGAAAAATAAAACTTAGTATTTTTTATTGATGCCGTTTGGATGATGTACATTTAGTTCCTTTATCCAAAAGCTTTCCCGAACCTGTCGCTGGGCATCACTCCAGTAAATGTTCTGTTCAATCACTAGGATCTTCATGCGGTTAAAGTCATCAAGTGTGTGACCAGACTGTCTGAAATGCTGAGAAACTGGGAGAAGTGGCTTCTTAGAGATATCACTCCTATGGCCATTGAGGCGTTTGTGGAAAGGCTGCTTTGACTCACCAACATATTGGAGGCCACAAACCGAACATTCTAGAATGTAAATAACATTCATACTTTTGCAGTTAACATTGCAAAATATCTTATAGTTATTTTCGGTTGCCTTACTGTGAAAAGTTGATGAGTGATGCATCTGTAGGCAGCATTTGCAGCGTTTTTCATCACACGAACGACATTCTCCAGAAGTACTTCTATTATCAGACACTTCAGCCCGCACCAGCAGGTTACGCAGACTATTGGGTTGCCTAAAAGCTATCATGGGAGGCTCGGGAAAAATCTTGGATAGTTTGGAATTCTTTTCAACTGTTTTCCAATGCTCACGAATGACACCGAAGCTGTTTTTGAGAGATGGGTGGTAAGTAAGAACACATGGAGTCCTTTTATTTTTCTTTTTATATTTGTATTCTAACAGTTTACTCCTTGGAATAGTTTCCGCTTTCTGAAAGCCTTTTTGGATAGTTTTGTGTTTGTAGCCCCTTCTCTTCAAGCGGGTTTCGAGTTGACGTAGTTGTTTTTTAGTTGTTTCTGAGTTGGAACATATTCGCTTGACTCTGAGTGCCTGACTGTACGGGATGCTCTTAGTACAATGAGCAGGATGGCAACTTTTAGGGGACAGATATTGGTGAGTGTCAGTAGGCTTAGAATATAGATCAGTGGATATGATGCCATCTGTGAGTGAGCTGGAGGTATCGAGGAAGGTGATTTTGGATTTAGATTTCTCATGAGTAAATTTGATACCTTGACAATTTTGCCAGAAGTCTACGCATTAAGGAATATTTCGCGTCGAAGGAGAACAACAACAGATGCTCGGATAGCGACTCAGAAATTTCAGAATACGAAAACAACTACAAATTTATAAAAAAGAGTACTTGGATCCCTAAACCGAGCAAAAATGCCACCTTGGAATCATTTATTGACAATTTTAAGTCGGACATTATAAGAAATACTAGAAATAACAATAAACCTTTTGACAATCTTACCAATGAAGAACGAACTGCACTGAAAAACTTACGATCTAACGACAATATCGTCATTAAACCTGCAGACAAAGGCAGTGCAGTGGTTGTCATGGATAAATCTGCCTATATTCAAGAGGCTGAACGACAACTTGGCGATGCAAGGTTCTACCAAAAACTAGACTCTGATCCTACAACATCTTTTAGCAGAGAAATAACTGATAGTTTGGTAGAAATGCACAACGATGGTTTCATCGATGAAAAGACTCTAGAATATTTGCAACCAGAAAATCCAAAACCGGGCAGATTTTATCTTTTACCTAAAATTCATAAGGCCAATAACCCAGGAAGACCTATAGTTTCAGCGAACGGTCATCCGACGGAAAAAATATCGGAATTCGTTGACTTCCATCTTCGTCAACATGTTGAGGACTTACCATCTCAATTCAAAGATACTACCGATTATCTTAGAAAATTGCAGGCCTTAAATCCACTCCCCTCCGACA